GTCAGAAAAAAATGAATGAAATAAGTCGTTTTCACAAAACAAAAAGCTTTCTGCCTTTTAGTAATATTATTATGTAATATCAAAAATGTCCTCTGAATCATGTATGATTGGATTTATTTTAGAGTTACAGGTAAAACTGTGGTTTACATTTTGAGTGGACTTTCTCCCATAACTGTAAAAAAAAAATTCGGGTAAAAAACGGCATAATGTAACAATAAGTAGCACTTGTTGTTCAGCTGGCTTAGAGGCAAGATGCATCCTAAGCACTCAACTGTACACACAATTCAATGAAATGGACCATAAGTCTAATATTCAGCCATGAAATAAACTTGTTTATTTACCTTGGCTAAAGTTACATGTAGCTCTCACTGCAACAACAAGTCCACAAGTCAATGAAAACTTTGAAATTGAATGGTTTTAAAAGATAGGTTGCTGTAATTTTGATGATGTTAACAACAATTGATTTTCTAGTTGGGGAAAAAAACCAACATTTTTTTACCAGGCAATGAAATTGGAAGAATGCATACACAACATCCTAGATGAAATTCACAAATTTTCTCCTTAGTTGTTACTATGATCAGAAAAAAGGTGTATTCTCTCTTCTTTACAAAGACAGTGATTTGTACAACTTGTCTGAGAGAAAGCATATGAACCAGCAGCTGACCAAAAGACTGATATAGGTATTTCATGAACATGAAGCAGCTTTATCATCGCTTTTAGCTCAGCTTCCTACACTGATCCATACTGCCCACCTCTTTTGACACAATATTTGCACAGTATATTGTTTACCCTTGAATAGTAACATTTTATCCCAAACCAGCTTTCTTCCTTTAGTCAACAAAGTCATGGAACCGACAAAATACAAAAGTCATCATGGTATGATCCAAAGCATTTTACTCTTCTCCTTCTACTAAAAGAAAGTGACATCAATAATAGTCATAATTAAGGTACTGACATTAAATAATTAAATGTCTGTGTATAAGAGCAATCACCAGCTACATTTAATGCATTTCAAAACATTTATCACAGCCCCCATGAAAAAGGTACATGTACATTTGTAACTAAAACAGTTTGACCTCAGAAGCTGAACATGCTTATATAAGAAACCTAAGGAGGAGAAACCACACTGTACAGTACTTCTTCTAATTCCTCCTGCCCAAGTGTTCTTAAAAGCCACTCAGGGGCTTGAAAAGATGATATCAAACTACATGTATAAACTTTAAGATACTTGCAGAATATGTAAGCCTGACTCACCTTGCTCCTGGTTGCAAAGCTAAGGATTAACAAATAAATGTTATCTTTTAAATATGCACAGTTTGACATAGCATGCATGGATGTGTCAATTACAAACCTTAAGATACCTTTACCATAAATTACAGCCATGATCCAACCATAAAGTGTACCCAGTACAATGTCTCATATGTGCTGCCAGTAGTGGTAGTGATAATATCATACAGACATTTGTAAGGAGAGTTGAACCAATCTGTATTAAAGATTAAAAAATTATTTAACAAATCATTACATAGCAAAACCTGTTTGGTCACAATTGAAGCCTCCAAAAATTACAGGTAACGCCTCCCTGTCACTTTCTGATCAGATCAATGGATTTTAAACTACAGATGGTTTTCACAGCTTAAATTACTGCTGTAGTACTGAAAAAACACTTAGTCAATATTTAAATGATTTGTTCAAACCAAATGGAGTTCAGACCTTGGCCATACAAGTGTGTACATTTCAAGAGGTGCCTGTTCTTAATTTATATTCCACCCTTGTTCAGTGATGTCAGTGATGGGTGTTGAATTCAAACAGAGTAAAGTTTTATCACCAGTAGTTAAAGCTGATGTCAACAATGAAAATGATTTTGGCAAATCACCTGTAGAAGAAGTCCTTAATTGACTTACTAGAATTTTACAAACCTGTCAATGAAGGCCTTGATGGAGTTTAACTGTGAGCCATCAAAAGATATTAAAGGGACCCTGTGATTGGAATTCATCAAAAGAAGGGATCATTAGTAAAATAGTCATCATCGGTAATCATCATTAGAACCATTCATAAAAAGCTGAAATTTAGCAAGAAGTGGACACTCTGTATACCAACCAATGAGTGAGGTTGGCTACATCCATTTATTCATTATTAACAACAAAAATAAAAAATGAACAGTTTTTAAGTATCTTCTGCCAACTCAAGTCATTAAGCACAAAAATTGCATCCAAATGGGTTGGTTCATGGCTATATCTACATGTACATGTACGTAGGAGTATAAGACTACACAATTATGGACCAAAATTGGGTGCTGACTTTTGATGTCACCCTGGTAAAAAAAGCATTTCAAGAAAAGTTCAATGAGTCAAAACTCCAATTATTTGTGAAAAAATGGAATTCTGCTCCCTAGCTACACAATAATTATGTCGAGTGAGAAATGTTATTGACACTCTCACAAGGATCTTTTTTGGTGACATTCTTGATCAGCGTTTTGTAGATTTCTATAGTGGTATTGAGTGTCACAGGTATCCTAAATGCTCTAAACTGAACTAAAAAGAGCCTTTGAGTCTCAATCAGAATTCATCCTTGTGTACATGAACCTAATGAAATGACAACCACTCATTCCAGCACCACAGCCATTTGGCACATTAAGTTTCCACACTTGGGAAGGAGCCTTTAGCTTCGCAATCCTCCAAAAATATTGATTAATCTGGAACCATTTTACACAAACTGCTCCTCACTCAAACTATCTTTAATCATAGTGAACAAGCCACAGGTTTTGCAAATAGCTTTCAGGTGGAGTTCGTTGCCATTCCCAGAGGAGATAACAAGGCATCGATTGCCATGATTTGATTCTAATCACTGTGCCCTTCGATACTTCAAATTCACTGCACGGCAAATTTAAGAGAATTACCTATCATTTTCTCGATAAATCTCAGTGGGTTAGCGACCTAATAAAAATATTGTGCGAAAATTTCAAAGAGTTTACCTGAGGCATATGTTGATCAAACATAACGTCTCCTCAGAAACTGCAGAAATTGTGTTCCTGATGAAATGACACCAAGGCG